ACGTTAAAAAAATATGGATATAATCGTGAGATTTTACGAAATTATTACCTAGGTAGCGATCATAAATCTTTCACGTGAACTTTATTTTCATTTTTTACTTTTCACTATAAGTTATTTCACATGAAAAGTGAACAATGAAAACGTGGAAAATAATATTTATGTAATATAGATTATTAAAATTAAAATGTAATTACAGTATACACAATGTAATGTATAACACATTAATAAGCATTATACTACTTAAATTTATAGTTACAATATAATATAATAATATAATATGAGAAAATTTAATAAGTGAGACGAACGTTAACCGTGAAAGGTAAATTCTCAAAACGTGAAATGTTTCACGTGAACTTTCAGTTTGCTCGGTTAGACGACAGTTTCCCGGAAAATGGAGGGGATAATGTTGGTACCAAGGAAAATCTCTACACGATAATTTAAAGATCTGTTCTTTGTAACTACATGCTACTGAACTAATGCAAAAGGTTAGAATGAGAAAACGTATACTTGCCTCACTTCAATTTATTGCACCAGTTCAGCAGTGCAGTTACAAAAAATAGATCTTTAAATTATATCGTGTAGAGATTTTCCTTGATACCAACATTATCCCTTCCACTTTTCGGGAAACTATCGCCTAACCAGGGGGTCGATTGTGTATCTCGAAACGGAATGAAAATTACAAAAGTGAGTAAATTCACTAGACATTGACCAACGAAGTTATAAATATTGTAGTAAATTTGCTCACTTTTGTCATTTTCACTCTGTTTTGAGATACACAATCGACCCCCAGTTTGCTCGTATATGTTCTTCTTTACATGAAATTGTAAGTTTCCATGAAAATTTTTAAGCATCAAGCAATGTGGTTTACATGTGAAAAATAATTTAATACTACGTTCGCATATTATGTACAAAATGAGTAGAATTTTTTATAGTAACTCTAATTTTTATGGTTATACGACAATTGACATTTGACAAGCAGACAAGCAGACTTCCAAGGGACGTTCTAGAGACATCACTTGTCTTAAAAACATGCTGAAATATTCTAAAGATGTCCATTGCAAATTGGTGTTATTTTGAGTATATTGTAATATTTGTTTTACTTACAAATTCAAGTTAAATCTTTCATTTTTCACGAATTTAGTGAAGGTTTTCATCTTTTACGAGTTCATTACAAAATTTTCACTTTTCACGAGTTCACACTAGGGGAAAAGATTAATGATCGCTATCCAACAGTGCACCTGAAAAGAACAGACTAATAGATTAACGCAAGCGCATGTGGTTCTGTGGGACAAAAAGCTCCCAACACTGTATGCAGTCGGTGCAGTCGTCATTTCCTGCTCATTCGTGTTGAAATTTCAGACATGGCTGTCATTGATTTTGATCGTAAAATTTTATTTTCTCGAGAGTAAAAATAACTCCGTATCGGTTCTGCATAAAGGATCGTTGATTTCCTCGGTTAAAATTTCACGTACGACATGTGAAAATCTATTGTGTTTTCTCCGTGTTTCATTGAAGTGTAATATTTGTCGTTGTTATTGCAGATTGTTTATACACGTAAATCGAAAAATGGCTGCTGTGCCGTTGATTTTGGCCGAGGAGGATATTGAACGAGGTGGCAAGGAGCAGCCTGAACACGAAATACAAAATGACTTTGCATATAACAACAGTGTCCACAATGCAACTATTAACATACGAATGGGTATTTGTATAATTTCACTGGATTTTTAAATCAACACTACACAACATTATGCTTGTTACAAAATGTTCATTAACATGACTATTTATAATTAGAGCACATCAGTATTATTGAATTTCTAATAATCATTAAGTAATATTATCTTTCCTTCAGGCTTCTTGCGGAAAGTATATGGTTTATTGAGCATACAGCTGTTGATGACAATTGCAATAGGCTCTGTATTCATGATGAGCTCAACTGTGAAATTATATATACAAGACAAGTAAACCAGTCTTTTTTTAATATTCACTTTAGCAAATCTAAATAAGTTGTATGAATAATATATATTTACATATAAATATGTACAAGATGCTAAAAAAAGAGTTAAAGACTTATAGGATAGACAGTATTTATTATACAAAGTAAAAAATACTTAGTAAACATAAGTTGAAAAAACAAGCCTTTCAGAGTTGCAAATGTTTTTCAGTTTTAGTAACATATATTCTTTGTGGTTTTATTGCATGGTAGATGAATGTGAACAAATATCTTTACATCAATCAAGTAAATACTATTTTATTATTTTATTATTTGATGTTTACAAGAAAGATGTTCTACATGTTTTCCACATGTTTTTGATATCTTAAATTTCTACACATTTTTGATATCTTAAATTAAGATAAAAGTACCAATGCCTGAACACTAATAATACTGATGCCTAATTTTTGATATTCTTATTGTTTTAATCTTTTTTTAAACATGAATATTTAAACTTTCTATATATATATACATACATTATATATATGTACTATGTAGAAAATTAAATATTTGTGTGTGTGTGCATGTGTGTGTGTGTGTGTAAACCAAAATAATAAGAATGTCAGATACCAACATTATTAGAGTCCAGACATTAAGACTTGCTTTGTTACAGAATTTTCTGGTGTAAATATCTTGCTATATAGAAACGTCATACAGCTAGAATATTTCCGTTGGCAAAATCATACATAAAATACATATCTATTATTCTCTAGTTAAAAAATAATAATAATAAATAAAAATAATACGATAATTGATTGAAAGGATTTTTACTACCATGTCTATTGAATATTGTACCATCACTGATCATAAAAATAAATGATTATACACTATACTGACATTAAAATAATAATCAAGAAATTATTGTGTAATTATTGTATATTATTATGTAGAAATAGAATTGATTCAAAAGAAACCAGAAATTTTTGGAAAAGGACATGCAAATATTTTTTGCAAACGTCATAATATAGTAAGATACTCGATCGTGCGTAATCAACGGAAGCATACAAATAACTTACATTATTAAAACCAAAAAAACATTTGTAACTCTAAAAAGATTGATTTTTCCACTTATATTTACCAAACATTTTTTACTAAGTATAGTGAGTGCTATCTACCCTGTAATCCATTTTTTAACACTCACTATTATTATTTACACATAAATGAGTTGATAAAGTTGCCATTGATTCATTGTCTGATTTAGCCTATGGACTTTGGGTTTGGCATGTGTTCTGACGATAGGTGTACTGATCGGTTTGCTTTTCAAAAGAAAGGATCACCCTGCTAATTTGATACTCCTGGTCATATTTGTAAGTATGAAAGAAGATAAATTTATTGTTTACACTGATAAAATACAATCTCTATAAGAAAAATATATGTATGTATGTTCAAAATTATAGACTTTAGTACAATCATATACTGTCGGAGTTGTGGTGTCTATGTATGATACCTCAATAGTCTTGGAAGCTTTATTTATAACACTGACAGTTCTACTCGCCTTGACGGCTTATACCTTCCAAACAAAGCGAGATTTCTCATTTATGGGATTTGGGTGAGTATATTTTTACTATAAAAATATTTAAACTAACATCTGTTTTTTTTTTTTTAATTAGTATTGTACTGGAACTTTATTCTTTTTTTGTTTCAACACTATTAACCTTAGCAACATAATGTATTAGACTAATATTGAAACTGTAGCAGCCAACCATTGACTAAATAATAGGTTGTTCTTTTCAGCTGCACTGTTGAAATACACTGGTGCAATAAATTAAAGTGAGACAAGTATATCTTTTCTCACTCTAACTTATTGCACCAGTTCAGCAGTACAACTGAAAAGAACAGACTAAATATGTATTGTTTGGGTAAACCTGCTCTTTGCTTCCTGCTTCTTTCTCTTTATCTCTTTCTCAAACCTTAAGCTTTAAGCCAGAAAAAGATAGAAGACAAGAAATAGAACGCAAAAAGCATATTGTAGATCAGGCTATAAAGAGAAAAAAACAGGAAGCAAAAAACATGTTGTAGCAGTAGCGTAGCCAGAAAAAAGTTTCGGGGGGGGGAGGTTGCACTTTTTATTTTTGACGAGCAAAAAAGGTTATTCGAAAAAATTTTTCTCTGGCTGCAGCCCTCTCCTACGCTACTGTGTTGTAGATTAAGTTTTATATGCTTATTTTATTCTAAAAGTGAGAACCACATTTTAATTCAGTTAAAAGTGATAGATATTTTAAGTTATGTACATTGACCCTCATTCTAAATTCTCTTTTATCAATAGAAATATTTCTAAATGTGCTTATAAGCCAATTGAAAGGTTTATAAGACATATTTAGAAATATTTTAATTAATAGAGTTCAGAATAAATGCCAATATACATATTCAAGTTAACTCCTAAACCAAGTTACAGTTTTTGCTTTTAGAGTGAAATAAGTATATAAAACATAATCTACAATGTTTTACTTCAAAGAGAAAAAGTTATGTAGTTGAGTGTGAAAAATAAATCTCTTATATGTTTTATTTATATACAAAACGAATATTATAAGTCAGGGTTCATTAGACGCTCGAAAATATTCTAATAAAATTAGGAAAGTAACGCCGTTATCTTTGCAAGTTATTTCTTTCACTAATGACTTAATAACGATGTTATTTTTTTTTATTAATAACGGTAACGCAGTTATATTTTTTTGTTTAACAACGAATATAATTATTACTTTTATTGCTACTTCGCAAATGTAAAATGCATATGTATAAAAAATTCAACAACAAATCCTAACAAAAAAAATATTCAAAACTTAGTGAAAAATTATAACGATTTAACGGAAATTATAACGATTTGTTACTTTTTGAATAACAGTAATGATTTGGTTTTTAAAAGTAACTCTTCCAACAACAAGGTGACCAGACGTCCTGATTTTTCACCGTTTGTTCCGAATTTTTTCGAGTGCTATTCGGGACACCGATTTGTCATCATTTTCAATGATTGCCAAATAATTTTCGGATCTTTTAACCTTTCTCCCCTTGCTTCACACATTTATGAAATGTCCCGAATTCAGAGCTGAGAAATCTAGTCACCTTACCCAACAACCCTATATTCTAGCTATATAATAACGTCATCAAACTCAGTGTTTAAAAAACGTTTCAGAATAGTTGCTACGTTAAATTGGCCGCAATTATAGTTACATACCTTCTTTTTACAGATTATTCATCGGACTCTGGTGTCTCTTAATCGGCGGTTTCATACAAATTTTCCTTCACAGCACCGCGTTGGAACTAGCCATAAGTATCGGTGGTGCACTGTTGTTCTGCTTATTTATAATCTACGACACGCAAATGATAATGCACACCCTCTCGGCCGAGGAATACATCCTGGCGACGATTAATATATATTTAGATATAATCAACTTATTTTTACATATATTGCGAGCTCTCGCGATTTTGAAGCAATAAGCGAAAAATATTATACGTGTCGGTTGCGTTGCGTCGATCTTTTTATTATAGTTATAATGTAATCCAAGTTGTGACTATACAATAAATTCTTATTTTTATTTAGGTACCTCTCTGTGAGAGATACAAGATTGCTTTTAGCATCGCATAAAAAAAAAAAAAATATATATATATATATAAAGATGTTTGATGAGAGAGAGAACTGCAACTTTGGTTTTAATGTCTTTTTATTGGCGTAAATATAAAGAAAGATATCAGAATTCATGATGTCTCCATAGCGGCTGTCACATCTTCTGTGTATTTTCCTTTGTCTTTGCCCAGCGCAGCGAGCCTACCTTTACTTCGCCTATCGATGATCTTCTTGCGATCCTTGTCCATCTTCAACTTAACGATAACTGTCTGAAACATTGACATGATCACGAGTTAAAATTCGACCGAAGGAAAGCTTTCATTGAAAAATAAAAAAAAATTGTATAGTCAGTGCCAATTCTTCTGCAACGATTAGACTAAGCAAGACTTCTCGACTGACGTACAAGAGAACCTTGTACACTGTTTTAAAGTCCAGCTATTTGTCTAAACCTATGTGAATGGTTTAAGTCATCATAGAAGTAATAAAATACAAGTTCGGGAAGAAATCTCTAATATGTACACATATATGTTTATAAGTGTATTTAGTAATGCTATCATTCAGTGAGCAGCTTTTTGTAAGCATTCACATGGATGAGCAATCTTCATATACTGGATATATTCTTACAGTCTTTATTCGGGGAGAAATAGATTATATACAATTATGTATATATAATTATACATAAATTATTTATAATTATGTGACCTATATAAGAATTTTGTCTTTATTTAGTCATATACAGAATGTTGTAGGTTCTAGTAGCCAAACTGTGCCAGTGTTTCATAGATAAAAAGAAATGTTATATAAAATATAACAATGTTATTCATAATGTTAAAGTTGTTATATACCATATAACAATTAATAAATATTATATAAAAAAGAATGTTATAGGTTCATAGAACAATTGTGAAACACAATGGATTATCTGCATGCTACAAACAGATCTTTCATATTGTTCTCTTATTATTATAAGTCCATAGAAGCTTAAAAGGTTGGAAACGAGTTCAACGAGTTCAAAGTGTTCAACGAGTTTTATATCAGGCAACTGTTCAACAATTTCGAGAATAATTACACTCAGTACATAAATGTAAGGTATTCACTTTTGGGTCTTATTTGTTTGTACTTTTATATCTTGGTCAAATCTGAAACTACACATTGATCAGAGCCAAGAACTCAGTGAATGGTTGTAGTACTGAATACATACAATGTATGTTATTAACAGCTACATTTCAGCAAAGAAGGCAGCTGAGTATTTAATGACAATTATCTGTATATAACTAGAGTATTCTATTAATTCTTGACAGATCCAGAAGAGTGAGATCAATCAGGAGTAACAATCATGAAGTTCATTGAGCATGTAGTGATTATTGTCTGTAACTGGAGTTCTCTTGATAGACTCAAGAGAATGTATTAATCAAAAGCAACAATCGTTAACACTAGAATCCTAAAAATGACAATCTTTTTTGGATACTTGAAAGAGTTACTTAGATTTCTTATTATAATATTTCAATTATATTTTAAAATTCTGTTTTTCATTATTCGTACCAATAATAACTTCTAAATATACTAAGGACAAAATTTCTAAGATATAGGCTGGTATTCATAGTCAGTTCTTATATTTAAGATCGTCTTAAGTTCATCTTCAGATGCTGTACGGATCATTTCATTGGCTATGGAGTATCTGAAGGTAAACTTAAAACAGTCTTAAATATAAGATCTGACTATGAATACCAGCCATAGACATTTTATATATCTTGTAAACAAATTTTTTTTTCACAATTTTCATAATTTTTCCAAATTTATTATTTCTTATAGTAAAATTTATCATAATTATTTACTGGTTCTTTATAATTAGTACACAAAGAAAATATTGTAGTGAAAATTATGTTAAAATATTGCTTTTTTTTATAAAACTGAATTATACACTGAAATTTTGTTATAAATTTTGCTATAGAAATAAATTTGATGATATAAAAAATGTATATGATGTAAAAAATATTTTTTCAATTACGATAATTTTATAATAAAAAGTCAAATATATATATATATATATATAACATTTGTAAACAAATATAATTTAATAGTAATTTCAGTCATAATTTTGTATAGTCAGAGATTAAAAAATTTTGTTACAATTTGTATTACAATATTTTTTCCATATAAAGCTGATAAATAGACACAGTATAAAATATAAATTCATTTGGAATTAGAGTTAAAATTTCAAATAATAGTTGGTATATTGTCTATTCAAACAAATAAAGAGTCAAAATAACTTTCTTAGACCATAAGTAAAACAAAATAATTCATCACAATATCATCAATCTCTTTTATCAGTGGCTTGATTTACATCGTGTACTTGATACGCGTACTAAATAGTAACTTTCTATTAGATAATCTTAATATCGATGATATATATAAACAACGGTATATTAAGCTGGTATAATACTTATCAAGAAAACGTATTGTATTGATTAAACGCATCGCCGTATGCATTGTCAATATTAAGATTATCTAATAGAAAGTTATTATTTAGTATGCGTATCAAGTGATATAAACCAGGCCAGTATGTTCTATTTCTAAAAATAATTAAATTGTGCAAGATTTCTTTCCTAAACCATAAGAAACAAAAATGATGGCAAGACCTTAAAGGTCTTACCTTGAAAATAACTCCATCAGGGCTTCTAATGCTAAATATTTACTGAGCACATAATGATTGTTGTTTATGATTGAAGTCTTCTTTTAGATCTCTGATAGATTCAGGAGAAAAAATTTTAAACAATCAAGAGAGAACAACAATTGTTATTTTCACTGAGTTACTTTCCTATTAAATACAAAGATAATTCTTACCTTGGAAGGATCAATGCCAACATACACATTTGCACTGTTTGCCTTTTCACGTTGAATCCTCTCAATGTATATAACGAATTTTTTTCTATATACCTGGACTACCTTGCCTACTTGTTGGCCCTTGTAGTGTCCACGTACAACCTTCAAGAAAAACACATAAATATCATAGAAAATTCGGATATTTAAAATTTTTTTAATCCTTTCATCTAGAATGATTAACTTACTTGTACTTCATCGTCTTTGCGAATTGGCATCGAGCGCACATTGTACTTTTGCCGGAGTTCTTTCGACAACGGCGCAGACATGAGTCGCCTCCTCACGTGCGAAGGTGCCGTGAAGTGCCTCTTCCTGTTCTTCCTGCGCGAGGAGGAGACGAGCCTGTTGTACTTCATCTTGGACTCTGGAACGAGAGTTCATCGTCATGACGAGATTTTGATCAGAAATTTATTTTCATGCTGACTTAACGACTGGCGAGCATGTGGCAGGCTCAAACGAAAGGCTAATACGACACAACCTCATCATTACGCGGCACAGATATGAGATCGCCGCGCTTTATGTGTGCATATATAGAAAATACAAGCAACATGTACACGTAATGGTTTTACGGATTCTGACTTGTGCGAAATATTTATTCACTTTTGTTTGTTTAAACCCGATTCCACGCGATTATTACTTGCTTGGCTTACCGACAACGATTCCACACCACGACCTTAACCAAAAGAATAAAAGGTTACCAAGATCGTATGTTCCGGACGTGTCACGTGTATGATAGAGAGATGGCCGTTTTCAATCTACCATCCTTCCTGTTAATTTAATACACTAGAGGGCGCCAGTCTGCTATATCGATCACAGTTTATTGGTCACATATTATTTAAAATATCTTATAAAATAATATTTTATAAAAAAATATGCAACTAATAAACTGGTGCAAAGGCTGGTTTATTATCAGTATTCATAGTCCGATCTCATATTTTATAGCGTGTTCGACTGGCCCTGGGTTAATCGCTCAGAGAGCGATTAATGACGTCATGAGTCTCTACTAGCCAATCATAAAGCTTATAAGTACTTGTTCGACCAATAAACGTAAACTGAATAACCCAGAGTGGGTTAACCCAGAGCCAGTCGAACATGCTATAAGATCATCTTAATGGCTCCTGCACACAGGACGCGGTAATGCTTGCCGCGTGGCGGAAATTCGCGCGACAGCCAATCAATATGCTGCTTTCCGTAATAACCTTCTAGCTCTTACGGAAAAACAACATATGGCTCCTGCACATAGGACGTGGTAATGCTTGCCGCACGGCGGAAGTTCGCGCGACAGCCAATCAATATGCTGCTTTCCGTAATAACCTTCTAGCTCTTACGGAAAAACAACATATGGCTCCTGCACATAGGACGTGGTAATGCTTGCCGCACGGCGGAAGTTCGCGCGACAGCCAATCAATATGCTGCTTTCCGTAATAACCTTCTAGCTCTTACGGAAAAACAACATATGGCTCCTGCACATAGGACGTGGTAATGCTTGCCGCACGGCGGAAGTTCGCGCGACAGCCAATCAATATGCTGCTTTCCGTAATAACCTTCTAGCTCTTACGGAAAAACAACATATGGCTCCTGCACATAGGACGTGGTAATGCTTGCCGCACGGCGGAAGTTCGCGCGACAGCCAATCAATATGCTGCTTTCCGTAATAATCTTCTAGCTCTTATGGAAAAGCAACATATTGATTAGCTGTCGCACGAAATTCCGCCGCGCGGCAAGTATTGCCGCGTCCTGTGGGCAGGAGCCAATACTGATTGGCTGTCACGCAGCGGAAGTTCGCGTGACAGCCAATCAATATGTTGTTTTTCTATAAGAGCTAGAAGGTTATTACGGAAAGCAGCATATTGATTGGCTGTTACGCAAACTTTCGCCGCGCGGTAAACATTACCGCGTCCTGTGTGCAGAAGCTATTAGATGTCATGAACCAATCACAGAACCGTATTCGCATCTTAAGACCTTACTTAATAATGTGTTTGACTGACCCTAGGTTAATTGTTCCGAGAACGATTATTAATGTCATATGTCTCTACTAGCCAATCATAAAGCTTATAAGTACTTATTCGACCAATAAACATAGACTGAATAACCCAGAATGGGTTAACCCAGAGCCAGTTGAACATGCTATAAGACGATCTTGAAATAAGATTCGACTATGAAAATCGGCTTATGATGGCCGTAAAGGGCGCCGCATACGAATTGATATAACTTTTGACTATATAACCATGGACCGCTAGCGGCGATTCTAAGCGTCTGTCAACATCTGTAGCGCCGCCAGGACCAAACAACGGCAAAAGAAGGAACTCAGTAGAGCAAACCAGAGTTAGCAACGTAAACGGTTCTAATATCCGCGTATCACATGGTGATACGTATTGGAAAAACCTAAAACCTATTCTACAATTGCGTGAACGCGGTTGTAAGTAGTTGTAAGTGATTACGACACCAATCAGAGTAAAGCAATCAGTGAATAAAACATTCGGATTGGTTGACTCTTACGTTCACGACTACGCTTACGCAATTGTAGAATGGGCTTAATAGTATAGTAGAAGTAATAAAAAGAATTAAACTTTCTTGAAAACCACAAATACTTTATAACAAAATTAATTATAAAAAATTATGCTAAAATTGTTATGACTTTCCGTAACCGTAAGATGTAACGTAATATCACCGTAAAGGCTTGTCTACAATTTCTGTAAGAATATGGCTGTAAGATTATAAGACGCAAAATGAATTATTTTCATTCGCTGACAGCTCACGTTACAGCCTTACAGCCATATTCTTACAGCTATTGTACACGAGTCTTAAGATGTAACCAATTACGATCGAGTATTCACAAAAGACCTTAAATTCGACGATTCTCAACATGATTCAATTCTTACGTTACGCCTTATGGCGTCCTGCATACAGGACGCGGTAATGCTTGCCGCGCGGTGGAAGTCCGCGCAACAGCCAATCAATATGTTGTTTTTCCGTAAGAGTTAGAAGGTTATTACGGAAAGCAGCATATTGATTGGCTGTC